AGCCTCGGCCTTCATACACATGACCATCCTCTCCAATGAGGAAGCTGTGAAGAAGGAGTGGAGCTTAATAAGGGTAGGAGGAGCTTCCTTCAACATCCGTTATTATTTTCTACAATATTAAGGCAACTGCACCCATTTATTGCACCCCTCTTCCTTGCCAAGCACAGCCATGTAAATACCTTTTCCCTCATCTTTGTAGCAACTGGTGAGTTGCCACCCCCATTTTACATAGAATCAGAGAGGTAGAGTCAGCATCCATGGTAACACAGAAATCCCATTGTTACCTGCACTGTAAACCCAATTGTGTGGATAAGGTTGGAATTCACTCTTTCCCCCAAGCCTGTGGACTCGCCTCCTCCCCTCTCAACTCCTGAGGTTGGTACTGCTGCCTTTCCACAGCTTAAGCGGACAGCCAGGGCTCAGAGGCCCTGCCTCTCAGAAGTCTGCCCCGGGGCCAGAGAGATGGCTCATCCAGGACAGGCCCTTTGCCAAGCTTGGCCACTGAGTTCTGTCCCAGGGACCCACGTGGTGACAGGAGGGAACTGACTGGCTCCTCAGCTTTCCCTCTGACCTCGACACTGAGTCGTGCCATGTGCCCACCCCAGCCAAATAAAAGGTATAAAAGAGAGTTTTCAAAGAGGTTTGTTCTTGGTCCAGCCTGCCTTGGCTGTTGGGGTCCTCAGGCATCGGGATTGTGGACTCAAGGGTGCAGGCTACATCTACCTCTTTAGAGGTTTCTAATCTGTGAATTTCACTTACTGACCAAGTCTCAATGGAGACCCCACCCCCTCCAGGGCATCTTGGAGTTAGGTCAGCAGCCTGGAGTTGGATGGTGGAGGATTCAGCCTCTGAGGAGCTGATGAAGCACAGGATGCTGGAACTTGGAGTCCCAGTCACTGTCTGCCATCTAGGAGGCCCGCTCACAGTCTGCCTTAGAGGAGATGGGACGAAGATGGGGAATATGGGGACCCAGGGCCAGGCTCAGTCAGTCTAGTGTCCTGGCAAGGTGCCGACCTTTATGAAAGATTCTCTAATGGAAGAGTAGGAGACACTTCAGTGTGTGTGAGGCAGAGCCTGTCTCCTGCACAGGGACAAAAGCCCTGTCACTTTTGTGAGACACCAGATCCACCAGCAACAAGGCCATTGGCTGACTCCTGCATGCCCTCTGCATTGTGATGTCCTAACCACATCCGAAGCACCGGGCTGGGGTGGAGGCACTGATTGTACAAGGATGCCTGTAAACCTCAGCCACCATGACATGGGCTCTGTGGTTATGGTGCTTGCAGAAGACCCCGGTTTGGTTCCCAGGACCCACATGGTGGCTCAAAACCTGTAACCTAACTTCCAGGGGATCCAATGCCCTTTTCTGACCTATGAGGGCTCATGGTACACAGACTTATACTCAGGCACACACACGCCCACCCCCCAGAACAAAACAACCCAACCCTCCATTTACAAGCAAGGAAAGTGAGGCTCATATAATGTGATTTTGCTTTTCTCTAAGGCCGTGACCCCGGTTCAGTCTTCCCTAGTCCCCACTTTAAACCTGGGAAGCAGCTTTGATGTTGGAGCCTTAGAATGGTTCAAATCTCGGGTGGAGACGCCTGGGGACACCCGCCAGGTGTCTGATCCTCTGCTGTTTGGCAGAGCAGTTGGGTGGGCTGGGAGCCAGTATTTCCAGTAAATTCTGCAGGTGATTTGACTCTTAGTTTACTTAGCCTTAGGAGTCACAGGGTTCAAATGCTCCTTTTGGAAACAAGCCCAGGTATGGCAGCCTGTAACACCGAAAAGAAGCAGGTGCACCATATGGGTGTGTCCCCCAGGGGCCCATCCAAGCAGCCCCCAGCTCTCTGGTGATCAGCCAGAGGGAACCGGTCTTTGCCGGAATCTCCCAGCACTTGTCTCTGTGCTGCACCCCCACCCCAGCTTCCCTCTGTGTCTCCTAGAGCTACATCAAAGCCACAGGAAGCCATCCCTGCCTACCCTGCCCTCCCCCACTTCTGGAGATAGGATCTTACTGTGAAGCCCAGGCTGGCCTTGAACTCACAGTAATCCTCTTAGCCTCCCAACTGCTGGGACTACAGGCATCTCCAGCGTGCCTAGCACAGCTAGCCTGTTTTTCTCTCTGTTAAACCGTGGTGTGTGTGTGTGTGTGTGTGTGTGTGTGTGTGTGTGTGTGTGTGTGTGTGTGCGCGCATGCGCGCGCAAACATCAGTCCACCCGTGGCCGAGTCAGTTCTCTCCTACAGGTTAGATCTCTGGTTGCTGGGCTTGCTGGCAAGCGCCTTTACCTGCTGAGCCATCGAGAAGTCCTATTTCTGTGGATTCTATTTCCACCCCGAACCCATCTTTTTCTGTCTTTATGCACACGGTGATATGTGCCTAGCGAAGTCCCCATCTGGAACTCTGGCACACGGAAGACATTTGCCCATAGATCTGGGGCCATATGCTAGCCGGTTTCCCGGATGTTTAGTATTAGGAGCCACACTCCCATTGGCCTTTGCACAAGTGGAAGCTGAGCCCCAGGGCAACTGTTTCCCTGTGGAGCCCCCTGGGTCTCAGGCATCAACTATGCCCACTGATGCCATGGCTTGGTGCAAGGCTCAGTCAGCCTGGCACTGTCCTGCAAGGTCTGGGCCGTTAGGAAAGGATTTCCTTATGAAAGTATGGGGGAAAAACCTTGGTGTGTGTGAAGCAAAGCCTGTCCCCTCCCACAGGGAGGACAGTCCTGGCACTCGGGAGACACCAGACCCACACCGGAAGGGTTGGAACAGTGAGGGCTGACCTCCTCCCGCCCACTCTGTACTCACTTGTAGGCCACGTCGCACCAGCCCAGCGTGCTCATGTGGTAATGCTGCACATTGCGGGCCTGCTGTTCACAGGAGGCCGGGCTGGCACAGGTGCTGCCTGCCGTGTGTGAGATCACCACGTAGCGAACGGGGTGCTGCAGGGGCTGGGAGCACTCAGACGGCCGGGCCTTCCACTCGCTGCGGGGCACGTTGGAACTGCAGGAGGCTCCGAGGCCCACGAGAGCAAGCAGAGTCCAGGCAAACAGCATGCAGGACATGGTGGACAGGGCTTCCAGGGCTGTGTGTGAGTCAGGCCCTGGACTGGAGTTTTATATTCGGCAGGGTGGTGAGGTGAAGGACTTGCTTCACTTCTGGGCGGAACTTACTGGAGTTGTCATAGAGGACCCCAGATTTAGCTTCCTCCTTTGACAAGGGTAGGACAGCGATGTGGCCTTTGCTCAGAGTGTGGAATAGGTGGTGGTGGTGGGCGTGGGGGACAGAAGCTTCCTTATCGGGAAGGGCACAATGGACCGGGGCATCTGTCTTTGTGGTTTTCTGGAATTTCCAAGGCTTGGCTCTCAGCCCAGCTTTGTGTCCTCTCAGGAGGGATTTGTGCAACTTTCCAGGAAGTTGCACAGGCAAGAGGCCTAGGGCTTTGGCATGGACTTCCTTCCTGCAGGTGGGGTATAACAAAGGTACCTTTTAAAATGTATGAATGCACGCATGTATACATTTATCTTTAACAGAGTCTCATGTAGCTTGAAGTCACACTTTAGCCAAAGATGACCTTGAACTGAAATTACAGGTGTTCACGGCCACCGTGCCTGGCTGCAGATCCTCTTGGGTCCAAGTCTGAAGATGCCCAACCCTACAGGGTAAGAGGCTAAGTATGTGGAAGCCCCTTTCACAGCTGAGGAAAATGGGCTCGGAGACTGGAAGTTGCCTCCCGAGAATTGGCAGACAGTAGTGCCTCTTGTCCAGAATCAATCAGAGCCACACTGCCTGCACCTGAACTCCAGCCCTTTTGTACGGTGTGAGCCCACACCAACGACTTAACCTGTCTGTGCCTGTTTGTCCAACTCCAATATGGAGATCGTAGCAAGGTTTCTGACCCCCAGAGTTGATCAGGAATTGTACGAATGGACCAGGTTTTAGGCCTTGGACGTCAGGCACATAGTGTCATGAGTGTCCCCACTACTCACTTAGGTTAGTTCCTGTCTGAGGTTTGCATGGGTGACCATAGCATTCCATTCTGGAGAGAAAGGACTCCGAGTACAGAGGATCACAGTGGCTTCATTCAGGTCACATGGAGAGCTTTCCTGGGGCTTCTGTCCTGCCTGGGCTCCTGTTCCCATGCCTCTCCACAGCACACAGGGGAATCGGGGCAGACCGACGGCCTTCCTGTCCTCTTTGCTTCCACTTCAAATGATTTTGGGTAGTCCTCCCATGGAGCTGCTCATTCTCCAGGGATCTTTCTTTTCTTCAATAAATCTATGTTT